TAAATGAGTTGCCCAAGATTTCATAGCTAGTAAGTGGCAGGGATGGAACTCAACATAGGTCTTTACAAGCACAGAGCCCATAGTTTTATCCACTAGAACTTAATAACTACACAGTGCTGGAGGTAGGCTTTCTTTTCTTTCTGCAGTCGCAGGGGTCCTCAAACTACAGCCCGCGGGCCACATGCGGCCCGCCGAAAACATTTATCCGGCCCACCGGGTGTTTTTGCCGCCGCTGCCTGTTGCTTAGCAGCCGACTAGTTTTTTTTTAAACTATAGTCCAGCCCTCCAACAGTCTGAGGGACAGTGAACTGGCCCCCTGTTTAAAAAGTTTGAGAACCCCTGGTCTAGAGTATAAAACTGTGTTTCCCAAGATACTGTATTTCCTTCTATTACATTACTCTCACATCTCTGGTTTGCTTGGAAACAAAATTATCACTTCAAATAATATCCTTTTGGATAAAACTAGTGAGTTATATCCCTGGCCGGGTAGCTCAGGTGCTTAGAGCAACATCCTGATACACCAAGGTTGCAGGTTGTGTGTTTCAGGGAACATAAAAGAAGCAACCAAATGAGTGGAACAACAAATCAATGTTTCTCTCTTTCTCCCTCCCTTTCTCTCTCTCTCGGAAATCAACATATAAAAATTTTAAAAATTATTGAGTTATAAACAAATGCCTTACAGGAATTTAAAATACTATATTAATTGAGTATCATAGCTAAAACAGAAATTTAGATCATATAGCTCTCTAAACCAGTAGCATCAGCAGCATCTGGAGATGGGTAGAAATGCAAATATCCTGACCTAACTCCTGACCTACTCAGTCACAAGCTCTAGAAATGAAAGCCTTCAATCTCTGTGTCAACAAGCTCTCCAACTGATTCTGGTGAACAATAAACTTTGAGAACCACGTTTCTAGCTCAATGTTGTGCATACAACATTGGAGACCTACTGTGCATCAGAATCATTATGTGTCAAGGAATAAACTTGGAAAGATTGGTAGGTGCCAGATCAAGTTAAAGGATTTGAGCATTAACCTGTACCTACGGTTGAGGTAGAGGGTAGGGCTTTAAGCAGAGAAAGGCATAATCTTGAATGACATTTAATTATTCATTAAGTGTACTTATCTGTTCATTCATCCACCAAATATTGATTGAGCAGTTGTAAGGCTCTAAGTAATGAATCTGAGATATCACTCTGTCTAGGTTTGGGTGGACAATAATAACCACATGGGAGGCTAATAAAAAGGCTGTTACAGCCCTAGCTGGTTTTGCTCAGTGGATAGAGCATCGGCCTGCCGGTCAAGAGGACATTCCTGGGTTGCAGGCTTGATCCCCAGTAGGGGGCATGCAGGGGGCAGCCAATCAATGATTCTCTCTCATCATTGATGTCTCTCTCTCTCTCTCTCTCTCTCTCTTTCTCTCATTTCCTCTCTGAAATCAATAAAAATATACTTTTTAAAAAGGGTATTATAATAGGTCCTTGGAAGATGACATGAGCCTGAAGGACATGGCAGTGGGGGAATGAGCTGACTCGGAGATTCTTGGAACACTACATGCATTTCTATAAAACTCCATTGGTACCCAAGTTTGTATCAGAAGGTGGAATGGGACTAAAATGACTCCTAAATCACCAATTTAGACAAATGGAAAGAGTATGGTGGCACCATTAGCTAGATTGGAAATACAGAAGGAGAAGCACATGCGATGATGGGGTGACCAAATACAGTACTACGTGGTATGGGAGTTTCACCACCCAATAGCAATGGCATCATCTGTGATGGGGCCACATAGTGACTTGAGTCAGGGCAGGTAAATTAAATCCATTGAAAATATTTTTAATGCCTAGAAAAAATTTCGTCTACATTAAACTGAAATCCTGACTGTAGCTTCTACTCACTGGTCTTATTTTGACTAGCATCTCAGAACAAATTTAGTTTGGAGATTTCCCTTCGCTGAATTCCCAAAGAAATGTGTGTAACGTGTTTATATATCTAATCCTGTTGACTTCCATGATCATTTGTCTTCATTTCTGAGAGTGCAATTTGGCAATGATTCTTTACACCCTAATTGTTCCCATTTCCATTTAGTTCTTGACAGTCCTAATGATTAAAAAGCAAACATTTGCATGTATCAATAAAGCTTGCAGCTCAGAAACTCTAGAGCCCCCCTTTTTTGAGTCATCACCCCCTTCTGTAGCCATTTTGTAAACATGTCATTTTATCAGGCTTAAAATTAAGAAACAAACACACAAGCAAAATCTTTATGCTGGCCCTCATTGAACTGTAGGCTGTTTCTTCATCCTTTGGCTCGCTAACATACATTTCTCTTAGGTTTATATTCATACCCAAAGGTCTGCGTCTTACTGACTCAAGAATATCATGACCACAAAACTTTCTTACAAAACAGCATAGAGTGGACCCCAAGGCATCAATTATCCTTCTATCCCTCACATCATTTTTACTGTCCTCGTCCTCTCTCAGCAAGAGTGAAATCAACAGTTAAAGGTCTGCCCTTCACTTTGTCCCAGATGTATGGATTGTTCTTAAGTTTAAAAGGCAATTTTTGCTGTCTCATTGCTTTGGGAAGGCTATTGATATTATTCAATAGCATACACATCGGAAAATCACCTGATTCCTAGTGCATTTTCTTCTCTTTAAAACCAATATTCTTCTCTGATTTTAATATTGCTACATTTTCATCATGGAAGAGAATTTGCAAATGGAAAGAAAGTATAAAGGAAAATATCAAGATTGGCCATAATCCTCCCCTTCCTCCCCCCCTCCACACACAGAATTAGCCAGTACATTTTAGTACATTTTCTTCCTGAATTTCTTCTGTGCATGTATTTTTACAGTTATGACCAGATAACTTTTTATTTCCTACTATTTTTTTTTTACCTTACATGACTTCCAGATCATCTCACTTGCTTCAGCCAACAATTTACTTTTTAAAAAATCCTCACCTGAGGACATGTTTAGAGAGAGGAAGGGAGAGAGAGAAACATTCATTAGTTGCCTTCTGAAAGCTCCCCAACTGGGGATCATTCCTGCAACCCAGGCATCTGCCCCGACTGGGAATTGAACTCAGAACAATGTCCTACCAATTGAGCCACTCAGGCTGGGCAACATTTACATTTTAAATGAGGCCCACACCAGCTTGCTTCCTTGTAACCACCTCCAAATAAGAAATACATTTTTTTTAGTAAATATTTAATCACATTATGATTATATTTTCATTACTCTAGGAATAGGTTTTTATATATAAAATAAACAGACTGAATTGCTTGGCTAATGTATTTCTATCTCCAGCTTGAGATTTTCTCCTATTACAGTGTTATAGGTGCAATCACACACACGCACACACACACACACACACACACACACACACACACACCATCATGCATTTTTGTCCTGGGACTTTGGACTGTTTGAATGCAACTGCTGTTTTTAAGCTGACTCCAACCAGTTGCCTTATCCTATATAATAAAAGGCTAATATGCAAATTGTCCCCTGGACCGGGAATTTGACATGGAGTTCAACCAGGAGTTTGACCTGGAGGTGGGGCTGGCTGGCCAACTACCCACAGCCCCTCCCCCCACTCCGGCCAATAGCCTGCAGCCCCTCCTCCCTGCCGGCCTGCCCCGATCAGCCCCAATTGGGGCTGGCCGGCAGAAACCCTGCTGAAACCCACCCGTGCATGGAAGTTCCAAAAGCCTTATCACATAAGCAGATTAATTTTAATAGGGCATATTGGCACATATTGTTATTATGCAAATACATTTTAAATCACCACTTTAGAAGGCAACAATCTAATTTTCTTCTCCCTACCCTTCTTTTTAATTTTCTCCATGCTGGAAACAAATGAGCTAATATTGAATATATGAAGGAATCAGAAAGAATAGGAAACTAGAACCAGGCCTTTTAAACCTTCCAATTAGAAGAACCAAACTATGGGACCAAAAATAAGCCAATAATACAATTAACATAAAGTAGCTAAAGACTTAACAGTGATGGGAGAGCTGTAAGTTATATCCCACAGAAAAGCTGCTATTTATTCCTTAAGGCTTGTCAAAGTTAGTGAATTAGGGATACCAGTTGAACACTGCTGGGATTCAGATTCCTTATTATTTAAATGTATATATATTTGTATTTAATGCAAGTACATATGTAATAAAAATGCCTCTATCCAGCAATAAAATATCCTGCTATGGAAAGTACTCAAACAGGGGCTATGCCATCTGGTTGGGAATGCCCTGGAGAGGAAGCAAATACTCTGTGAAGATTATTCAAGCCTGGCTGGTGTGGCTCAGTTGGTTGAGTGTCATCCCATGCACCAGGAAATCACAGGTTCGATTCCTGGTCAGGGCACAGGGGCTGTGGACTTGATCCCCAGTAGCAGGCATGCCAGAGACAGCTGATCAATGTTTCTCTTTCATGGATGTTTCTCTCTCTCTTCCTCTCCCTTCCTCTCTCTGAAATCAATGAAAACATATTTTTAAAAAATAGCTTGAAAAAAAAAAGATTACTCAAGGCCAAAAACGTCTCTGAAATTTCTTCCAACCCTATGATGTGTAAATCACGCATCTGTGAGCAAACAACCGTCTATGCCAGTTTTTATCTTATCACGCCATCAGCCAACTGACCCTAGTGCTGCCAGCCCCTGCACCGTTAAACTTCTACATCATGGACCTGCAAACTAGAGCTTACATGTCGAATCTTGCTGGCCACATCTTTTGGTACAGCCATTGGCTAAGAATGGTTTTTACATTTTCAGATAATCAGAGGAAAACCAAAAGAAGAAGACCATGTTGTGGCATGTGAAAAGTATATGAAATTTAATGCCCGGTGCTCTTAAGTAAAGTTTCATTGGAACACAGCCTAGCTCACTTGTTTATGTGTTGCTTATGGCTGCTCTTGTGTTACAACAGAAAAGTCAGATAGTTGTGACGGATACTTGATAGTCTGCAAAGCTGAAAATATTTATTATCTAGGCCTTCACAGAAAATGTTTGCTGCCCCCTTCTTTAGAATGTAAACTTCTGAGATCAAGGGCTGTGATCTTTGCTGTTTATCTCTGTAGCCCCAATAGTTGGCACAAAATGGTTTCTGTGTTGTAATCGTTGAATGAATAAATGAATGAAGGATGACTATTCAGAATTAATAAAAAATCATCAGATCTGCTTATAAATAATTTCTTCTTCTAGAGACCAACAGATATCTCCATCCTTTCTCCCTCTTCTCCCCTCCCCCCACCTCAAATAGAGGTACATTCTATGTGAATAAGAGACTCAACTAGGACTAATAATGAGGCATAATGTAATTTCATGACATAATGTTTATCTTCTGCTCTGATTGGTCATACCTGACCAGTCATTAACAATTTTGGAAACCACCCTTGGATAAACTACAGGTTTGTCCTTAAAAACTTACGACTTATCCAGACTTTGCTAAATTCCCCAAATACCTTGAGAAACTGTCTTTTCTTGTCTTACTTAGTTGGCAAATTTAATGCTCCCTGGAGGAATAATTGTGGGGAATTATTCTCTCCTGTCAACACAGAGAAAAAGCCAGCTCAGCAATTCAATGACATTTGCTGCAGGTTAGATGAATGTCAACACCTTGCTCCTCCTTCCACACAAAGAGAACACTAATACACTAAACACACACACACACACACACACACACACACACACACACACACACGCAACACCTCTCCACCATTTCATCAGCAACATTTTGGAAACCCATTTGAGAATGTTAACGTGGGTGAAAGATGCCCATGCTGATTCTCATTCCCTCATCCCACTTTTTAAAAACGATTAGCCGCCCAGCACTGATGAACCAGCTGCCACTTCTCTTAGCAGAACGTTCCCAAGTCGCCTCCCTGATCTGAAGCTGTCAGGAGAAAGGCTGCAGACTTGCATTTCCCTCCTACAGCTCTGTGCCCTAATCAGAGCAATAAATAAGGTTCCCTCCAGGGAGAAGTAGGCAGGAGAAAAAAAAATCTCTTCTGATCCAATAAGTCCCACGGTGTCGCTGTAAGACTGAAATTCCAATTCACGTAGGACAGAGGGAGAACCTGGGCACACAGACAGAAGAGGTCCCAGAACCAGCCAGTGGGGAGAGGAGGAAGGGGGGCCTTTCTGCTCCCAATCACAAGGCCAGAGCAGAGAGTAGATGGGATGCCCTCATGACTAGAATTATAAAAATCTCAAAAATCATTTAGGTCACAATTTAGCTTTTGGAACGGGCCCACATTTTTATTGATGTGTTTGTTTCAAATTCAACGTATTTTTATTTTGAAGAAGAAAATATGGCTAATAAAGTTATTCTACAGTTATTATATGATTATTATGGGTAATGTTACCCATGGAGAATAGTACAAAGAAAAAAGTTCCTATGTCACCGTGTCTTCCACCAAGAGGCAGCCATCATTATTAGGAGAATATTATGTTAGGTATCATTTTTATATAGAAATAAGTAGATTTGAAACCTTATAATATAGGAACAGGCAGTGACAGTTTTGCATAAAAGCCTTCACTTTAATTTGACTTTCATTGAAAGGGGGAAAGTGCAAAGCGATCTTATTTTTTATTTTCTTAAAATAGCTTTGATAGACTGATGAAAGATATGAAAACTAGTTAGCAGCTGGAGTCATTGGGCCATCATTTTTTAAAATAAATTTCAAGTTTTATCCAATTAATTGATTCTACCAAAGAACCTTGCATACCTCCTCCAACCTACTCTAACTGCTTCTTTAATTGCTAAAGTAATCTTATTATCTGTACCATTATTTTATTATATTTTGTCATGAGTAATGTATTTCATAAATATGATTTACATAATTGCTCATGTTAGTTTTAGATTTAAAAGGATTCAGTACATACCACTAATATTTTTCCTGTGCTTTCTTCAGTTCTGATTTCATTGTTTTTGATTCATGCTTTTGATTAGCTGAATTTGTCAACAGTATATGTATGTGTTTGTGATAAGAAGGGCTGTTGGATGCTAAATGTTTCATGTTTGAATATATCGAATTGTTGTCTTTATATATGAAATACATCTTGACTTGATGCATTCTTTTTGGTCACACCCTCAGAACTTTGTGGATAACTTTTGCACCTGAATGCTTTCCTGGGACAGAGTAATGTCACTCTGATTTTCCTCTTGAGCCCTGAAGGCATTTGAGTTTATGACACCTGATGTCAGTCCAGCTCCTTCCTTATAAAAAAAAATACTAAAGCTAAATAACTTCAAGATATATTCCTACCAGTGGTGTATAAACATATTTAATCTTGGCTATTCTGATAAGTTAAAAAATCATATAGTGCTACTGGTTCAACTTGCACATCTTCAATTCCTAAGATGATTTGAACATCTTTTACTAGATTAATTGAGAACTGACTGTATTGGTTTTTACAACGAATAAAATATATAGAAATACCATATTCTGCCCAGCCGATGTGGCTCAGTGGTTGAGCGTCAACCTATGAACCAGATTACAGTTCAATTCCCAGTCAGGGCACATGCCCAGGTTGCAGGCTCGATGCCCAGTTGGGGGCATGCAGGGGGCTGCCAATCAATGATTCTCTTTCATCACTGATGTTTCTATCTCTCTCTCCCTCTCTGAAATCAATCAATCAATATATATATTTTTAAGAAAGAAATACCACGTTCTATATATTTATCATATACAGCAGATGTCATACACATGTGGATATGATTCTTTGCAATAACAAAGAATGTTAGCTATATAAATTAATATAATAATAATGTAACTTGATCTATTTCATGAAGACACTGTATGAAGGTTAGGGTGTCATGTTAACCTGGCAAGATCAATCTGACCCTTGCAGGATGACATTGGGTCTTGCTAGCAACAAAATATGTAGAACACGATAAAGACATTTCAAAACTGAATGGACTGCAGGATCTTCTAATTCAGTGGTTTTTTTAAACAGAAAAAAAAATCTTTTTTAAACAAAAAGGATTTATATTAAGCCTAATAAATAAAACAAGAAAAAGTGGATCTGCTCTAAATAAGGTGAAATAGGACAGGAGAGAATCGTTGCAGCCTGCTTTCCCTCTTTTTTTTTGACTCCCGGATGACTTGGGAAATCCCAAGGCCCTCTGGCTCACAGTTTGAAAGCCAGCAAAGGTGGCAGATGGTTTTATACTCTGAACCGCTCCTCTGCTTGGAACACAGAACAAGGACAGATAAATCATGCAGAGCGTGTGCACTGACCACAGTGGAATGAAGCAAAAAATTAAAAACAAACAGATCACTAGAATATTCCCACTCTTTGGTAAATAAGCAACCCACGTCTAAATAATCCAAATGTCAAAGAAGAAATAGCAAAGAACATTAGAAAGCATTTTGAACTGAGTAATGATGAAAGCACAGCTATCAAGGCTATTCTCGATAAATCAACAAACAACAAGTGTTGACAAGGACGTGGAAAACTGAAACCCTACTGTACTGTTGGTGGGAATGCAGATTGGTGCAACCACTATAGAAAACGGTATGAAGGGTCCTCAAAAATTCAGAAGTGGAACTGTCTTATGACCCAGTGTTTCCACTTCTGCATATACATCTAAAGAAGCCCAAAATACTGATGTGAAAGAATAAATGCACCCCTATGTTCATTGCAGTGTTATTTACAATAGTCAAGATCTGGAAGCAGCTCTAGTGCCTATCAGTAGATGAGTGAATAAAAAAGCTGTGGGACATTTACATTAGTTGACCATACTAGTTGGGAATACTAGTTGGCCATAAAAAAAGAAGGAAAACTTACCATTTGTGACAGCATGGATGGACCTAGATGGTATTGTGCTAAGTGAAATAAGTCAGATATTGAAACACAAACACCATATGATTTCACTTATATGTGGAATCTAAAGAACAATATAAATTAAAAAAAAACAGAAACAGACTCATATATACAGAGAACAGCTGATGGTTGCCAGAGGGGAGGGGGCCTTGGGTTACTAGGTGAAAAAGGTGAAGGGATTGAGAAGTACAGATTGGTAGTTACAAAATAGTCACAGGGATGTAAAGTATAGCACAGGGAATATAGTCAATAATATTGTAATAACTATGTACGGTACCAGGTGAGTGCTGGAAATATTGGGGGAAATACTTTGTAAAGTATGTGATTGTCTAACCATTATGCCAGTGATGGCGAACCTTTTGAGCTCGGCGTGTCAGCATTTTGAAAAACCCTAACTTAACTCTGGTGCTGTGTCACATATAGAAATTTTTTGATATTTGCAATCAAAGTAAAACAAAGACTTATATTTTTGATATTTATTTTATATATTTAAATGCCATTTAACAAAGAAAAATCAACCAAAAAAATGAGTTTGCATGTCACCTCTGACACGTGTGTCATAGGTTCACCATCACTGCCTATGCTGTACACCTGAAACTAATACACAATAATATTGAATGTAAACTTTAATTAAAACATAAAAGTACAGCCATTAAACTGTGCAATAGAGTTAGAGTTGTGCTAACAGTGAAATGTAGTCTTCAAGTGCATATATTAGAAAATATGACAGGCTGAAAACCAGTTATCTAAGTATTAAACCCAAGAGGCTGAAGAAAAAATAAATAAATACAAGAAAGTGAAGAAAAGGAAATCATAAAAATAATGTAAATAAATTAATGTGATAGAAAATAAATGTATTAATACCCAAATATAAAAACCAAAAAAGTGCTTCTTAGGAGAGACTTAGACAATTTATAGACTTCCAGCAGAGCTGATTAAAAAAAAAAGAGACATGGGGGAAATTCCCAAATATGAGCAATTAAAATGAGGATGTCACTATAGATGTTGCAGATATTAATAAGCAATAAAAGGATACTGTTAACAACTACATGTGAAAAACTTTGAGAATTTTAGTCAAGTGGACACATTTCTAGAAATCCCTAATTACTAAACTGAACCAAGAAGATATATAAGTATAAATAATCCCATAAGTAAATTGAATCTAGACTTTAAATCCTTTCCAC